GCCATACCCGCAACCATACGGATCTTATAATTAGAGTGTTGAAAAGAGTAATAACATTTATTTTCTGCGCGTTTCTAAAGGCTGTATGAATTGCATTTGCTTATAGGATCCAATACAATATTCCAAATGTATTGCTTTGGTTGTATGTTTAATTGCATTGAATAGTGTAGAATGAGAAATTCTCAAAACGAAAAGATGAAATCCTTATCTTCCAGCAAACATAGTATTCTAAACCAAACACTGTGTTTTCAGATATGGAGGTCTGTCGTTCGGTAACGTTGTCAAGTTTGTTCCAAAGAACTTTAATGATATTCCATTCACCCCCGTCCGACGATTGGCTGTCAGAGAAGTAGTCAAGGTAAGATTACATTGTAGTTTGAACGATAAGCGTGTGCACAAACCATCACCACGAGAAAGATTTATGCCTAGTGTCCGTATAGTCGCACGAATCGCTACAAACGTTGTTCAATGGCAATATACGTTTGGGACGATTGGGGCTATTATATCGCTATTTCAAAAACGGTTGTCGGATAAAATGGCAATTGCACGACCGAAAGTAGCCATGGATTTTGCTAGTTGAAAGGCAATAACAAGTGATTTGTACTGTAAGATGGTCTTTGGTAAACCACCTCTATTAACTATGGGTAAACATTGGCTCCATTTAGTCTCCAATAAGTAACTTTTGTTTATAAACAGTGTTACCATAGTCCCTTTCGGTCGTGCAATCTCCCTTCGACAATCGCTATTTGCCGTTCTCCCCGACCATGTTTTTTGAAATAGCTGTGTACGCACTAAGCATCATTCTTGCACTATTAAAGTGACTTTGTTTTGTGTTATACGTAGTCATGGTACAATAACAAGGGATATCACGCCCTTCCAACATACTTGAATGTTATGAATAACGCCATTCTACGAGCATCCATTGGAAAGGACAAAGGGAACCCATCAGCTTATGGTAAGGTCGACCATTAGAACATGACGCATTTCCAAATTGTGAAGTTAAAACCACATTTGTTTTGTTGGCAGGAATTACTGCATACAATCACCCATTTCCATTCAACAGTACATCCAATACTCACTTGTCAGCGGAATATCTGTAAGTATGACGTCATCGCGTCAAATCATGACGTCACATTTTTCTACGTGACGTCACTTTTGTTCGTATATTTGTTGCTATACAGAACAACGGGAACTCAACTCTCGTTATAATGGTCACCAAGCGTGAGCAATAGCAGATTCTCGCTGTAAAGGGAGCTATTCTCATTAATTTTTTTAGAGTTTTCGTAATCGGAGTTTTACCAGGAAAAAGTTGGCTGTATCCGAAAACTGGACGAAATTCCGGTCATTTGTGAAATCTCTTTTCATGTTACGCCAATAAGGGTTATGTTACCTTTGTCTGTGTTGTTTTTCAGGCGACAAGGGACAGACCTCGTGATCGCCATCTTTGTCATCATCGCCATGTCGTTCGTCCCTGCTAGCTTTGTGGTATTCATTGTAATGGAGCGTTCGTCTAAAGCTAAGCATCTTCAGTTCGTTAGCGGTGTGAATCCCATCGTCTATTGGTTTTCGAACTACCTATGGGACATGGTAAGTTCAAACTCATTCAACTTACTTTATTTCGTCTGCTCTGTTAATGTTTGCACTTAAAGGGCCATTTACCACCAGCATTCAATGCGGTCGTGTTTTAGAATTTTCATATGTCGAACATATGGTAACATCAAATGTTATTCGCAATCCGTTTCCATCCGTCAGTTTTAAGATCGAATCTTACAGT